ACACTGCCTTAGACCAGCGGTTCTCAACCTGTGGGTCGAGACCCTTTGGCGGTCGAACGACCCTTTCACAGGGGTCGCCTAAGACCATCCTGCATATCAGATATTTACATGACAATTCATTACAGTAGCAACATTACAGTTATGAAGTAGCAACAAAAATAATTTTATGGTTGGGTCACAACATGAGGAACTGTATTTAAAGGGCCAGAAGGTTGAGAACCACTGGCTTAGACCGATGGCTGCCACTCAGCACGCAGGGGCCCTGGGAGCTGGGTCACAGACCCTTGACCCTTGACAGCACCCATCCCTTTGGGGAGAGCGGGGGAGCTGCAGGGCACCTCACCCTGAGCCACTGCTCCGCCTGGTCCTTGCTCTGCAGGCCCAGGACGATGACGTCGGCGTTCATCGGCGTGATCTTCAGCTTGTGCTCCTTCTTCCGCACCTGCTTCTCCTTGTGGACGACGCTGCTGCCCAGCAAGTTCACGTCCAGCTGAGGGCTGTGGTCCTTGGAGGATTTGTAACACTGGGAGGAAAGAGACGAGATGTTGGTTGGCCGGGGTGCCAGGCCTGGCCGGAGTCTGCAGAGGAGGGGCCGCCGGGCATGGCAGGACCCACTGAGACCTGGGTTCTGCCCAATAAAACCAAAGGACCAGGTACCCTAGCGCAAGTGCAGAACCGTAACCTCAAACAGCGGCAACTCGGTCTGAGCATCAGACCCAGCCGGCTGTCTCCCTGCTTCAGCCTCCTCCTCTCTGGCCTCAGCCGGGGGAAGCGGGGAGGCCCCTGCTTGTCCTTGCCCTAAAACACAACCTCGGAGGGCGACTCTCTCACTCAGGGTGGAACACACTTGTCCCACTTCTCCACCGCCGCATTGCCTGCTCAGCTCCCCCAGTCAGGGGGCCGTAGGGAATGAAGACTAAGTTTTTCCTCCCCTTGGTTAGGAAGGTGACATCATTAGCAAGAAAAGAAAGGGGCTTTCACCTGGCTGGTGTGGCTCAGTGATTGAGCATCGACCTATGAACCAGGAGGTCACCGTTCGATTCCCAGTTGGGGCACATGCCTGAGTTGTGGGTTTGGTCCCCAGTGTGGGGCATGCAGGAGGCAGCAATGAATGATTCTCCCTCATCATTGATGTTTCTATCTCTCCTTCTCCCTTCCTCTCTGAAATCAATAAAAATGTATTAAAAAGAAAAAAAAAACAAGAAAGGCACTTTCTCCTCCTGACAGAGAAAATACTGTGCCCCTCAGTTTCTCATTTGTACAAGGGGGGTCCTCCCAGGATCACCTGACAGACCGTCTGCACAGGGCAGGGCACGCTGTGAAGAAAGGGTGCTTATAACGATGCCCTGGAACTTCAAATCAGGACCAAAAAATGAATTTTAAATAACAGGAAACAGGGCTGTGTTCAGGATAATATCTTTTGATTCCTTTATGGGTCTTGTCTTATGATCACAGATTCAAAATACTGTGACTTCTGAGGAGACACCTAACCTGTGATTTTCATGCTGCACAGACAAATGCAGCAGCCAGGACTGGGGCTGGGCTGGGCTAGGGGGGCCCTGACAGAGCAGCAGCCCCACCCACAACCCCCAGTGCTCATGATGGGCGGAAGCATGGGCCCTCGGGCCCGGGAACAGAACGGTCCCTGGGAAAAACGGGGATGGGATGGTCATCTTAGTCCCCCTTTGAGAGTTTGATGAAAACCATTAGACTTTCTAGTTCAGAAAAAGTACGTTCTTAGAAGCTTGATCAGGTTCAGGTTTAATTATTTTGGGGGCAGTAATAAACCATAAAACCCAATTTAAAAAAAAAGAGCATTCAGCCCAGCTGGCGTGGCTCAGTGGTTCAACTTCGACCTATGAACCAGGAGGTCACGGTTTGATTCCCGGTCAGGGCACATGCCTGGGTTGTGGGCTCGATCCCCAGTGTGGGGCGTGCAGGAGGCAGCCGATTGATGATTCTCTCTCATTGATGTTTCTCTACCTCTCCCTCTCCCTCTCCCTCTCCCTCTCCCTCTCTGAAATCAATAAAAATATATTTTAAAAACAAACATTCATGCATGCATGCAAAGTTCTACATACAACTCCAGGTTAGGGAGAGGTAAAAATCTGGCAGAAAGGGCTCTGACCACCTGGTATTAGGGACCACCCCCCACCCCTAAAAAGAGAGAAGACCAGAACGCGACCTGAGACCACTGACCAGGAGTCG